CAACTTTTTCACAAAAAATTGACTTTTTCAACTTAAATTTTGAAAGTGTTCCGGAAAGTCTGACACTTTTATATATATCTTAAATTAAAGCTAATGTAATATACTTTATCATGGAAAAAAAAAATTTCGGACTTTATTTTATCTTCAAGGTGAAAATGGCTACCAAATGCTATTATTGTGTGAAAATTCTCAATTTTATTTTTTACATTTTTAACATTATAATGCTATAACTTATTGAAAAGTGTATTGATCAATATAATTTTTTTATGGGAAATACTATTTTCTAATAATCTCTTTTTTATTCGACATACTTTGTCTTAATCAGGATATTAATAAGGAACTAGCAGTTTATGAAGCTTTTGGAATAATCCACCAATTTTTTAAAATTAAACACTATCTAAAGATTTGCATCGAAGCGTTTTTTTTTTATAATGATTTTAATCACTGTCAAATATCATTATACTTGATCCAACTATGCTATGGCCCCCCTGTGCTGGGTTTTTTTATATTCATCCTTTACACATTAGAGTGTCAACTTTAATTTTTCTAATAACAATATTTATATTTAACTAGATTATATATTAGAAATTGATCTAATTATAACAATAACTGGTCGACAGTTTAACAATTTTTTTCTATTAACATGTTTATTTAATATTATTTTAGTTTTAGCTTCGACGTGTCGCTGAAAAACAATTGGTTTCACTCTACCGTGTTTTTTGTATGTGACTCTAAACGATTACTTCGCCCTTACTGGACCGAATTTGCTCAATCATCTAAGCTCGGACTTGGATATCAAAGCCCATAGATAATTACCATATCAGTTTCTACAGTGTCATATTCAGAAATTTACTATAGGGGAATCTCAAAGTTTTACGAGATTTTTACCCATATAATTTCTTCAACTACTTAAAATTTTGTTAAATAGACATTTGCCAACCATATAAAATTAATATTTGACATAGTTTTAAGTGAGACGGCCTCAGTTTAAACCGTTCAAATCACAACTAGCATTATATTACTCATCATATTATTTATGCACTAAGCACCCAATATTTACTTAAATAATTATATTATAATTATTTGAAACCTGTCGGCATGAACCGACGTGATAACATTGTGTTAATGTTTTTACGGTGAAATACTCGCCTGTATATATAAAACACACGTTCGCCAAGTATTCTGGCTCGAATGATAATAACATCTTCAAAAACTTTCTAGCTTTTATTACAGAACGTTGAAATTGAAAAAATCTTAACGTTTTGACAAACACTCTTGAGTGGATGATTAAGTAAAAACGATCTATATACAACGCCCCAAAGATGGCGTTGCGTTTCATATCGGCGACAAGGTTACACCGTCAGCCTCCACTACTGGCACTGGTAAAAGCTCAATGTAGGTGTAAGTAGTTTTTGTTTTTTGGAGCAATGCATAAACAACAGATGATTATTTTCTCTCGAAGAGTATATTCATGGCACGAACTTGAAAAACACCCATCGGGACGTGTAAATAATGTTCCGTTTATAAATACTGTCGGATTACAAATTTTTATGAAACCGGTACATAAAATTATCTACCACTATTTTATTCATTGAAATTTCATCGATTTCTGAATCCTAAATGTAATAATCGCGTCGAACACAAACTGATTAAGTACACAAAACGACTAAAAACAAAACCATAATAGAATTGCCAAATGTAGATAAAAATAAAAGTGGTATAGTTAAAAAGATGGTCACAGTTTACGCTAAAAATTATCGGGTGGAAAATGCCCTACTGCCCATAATATTATGTCAATCGGAGGGAGCTACAGATCTCCTAATATATACCCCACTGTTCCTCTTTAGATTTAAATAAAAAAAACCCAGCACAGGGGGGTCGCGGCACAGTGGTGACGTGGCATAGTTGGATCAAGTATAATGATATCTGACAGTGATTAAAATCACTATAAAAAAAAAACGCTTCGATGCAAATCTTTAGATAGTGTTTAATTTTAAAAAA